AAAAAAACATTAATAAAAACATAACAAAAATAACACTAACAGCTAGCAATTATATATAGGCTAATTTTTATGTAAACTTAACGATACAAAAGTATTTGTAAAAATACAAGGGTGTGATATTGTATTGCGTCCCTACAAAATTGGGTGAAAATAATTGTCAATATGCTAAGATACAGTTACCAAATTTGAAAAGTTGTAACATATCCTTTAAATATGGGGCCGATTTTCATGCCAAATTAAATGAATTAGAAACCCCCATGTAAAGCAATCCTGATATTAAGGAAGGCGGTTCAGTGAAAATAGAGAAGCTAAAGATTTTGAATTTCAAGCGACTCTATATTGTGGTTGAGTGGTGCAGATCGTGGGTTTTTAATTCTCATGATTTTTAATATAGTATATATTGTGTATATAGTGAGTATATATTCAGTTTTTTCAGTTCTCGTGTTTTTTAATAAGTAGTATATATTGTGTATATATTGAGTATATGTTCAGCTTTTTTTAAATAGACAGTATATATTGTGTTTATAGTCAGTATATAGTAAGTATATAGCCTGATTTTTAATTTACATAGCATTTTTGTTTACCACATTTGTGATATTTAAATTTCAACCGTCAATTGTTTTTAATGAACAATATATATTGTGTTTATAGTCTGTATATGATAAATAAATTAAGCACGGACCATATGAGAAACACGAAGCACGGACAACGAAAACATATACTGAACATATACTGCTTATATACGCAACATATACTGCAAAAAAATAAAAAATCATTTTTTCTCTCATTTGTATGGATTTTTGCCCGTCACCCAGTCGAGAGGTGAGTGGAACCCAGACCTCCGCATGGAAATATGTCTCTCTTCATCCTCACCATCCCACAAACAACCAAATCATCATCATTCGAGAAGAAATCCCTCTCCCAGCCCGAAATCAACATCACGAAGCATCTCTCCTTCCCCCAATTTCGGCCCGACCAGCCCAGAAGGCCCAACCATCCAAGGCCTCACACTCCTCGGCAATGCCGCCGTCTCGACCTCCAATGTGGAGAATTCCCGTCTCCGATGGATGGGCTTCTTCCAAATTTGCTTTGCCATTGTTGTTGAGGTCGAGAGGATATAGGGTTTGATTTATAGTTCGATGAAGACGACGATATAGTAGTGGGAGAGAGAATGTAGTTTAAAGCTCATTACCTTTTTTATCGGGGTGCGTTTTTTTTAAAGTTATTATCTTCCCATAAATTTTGGTAATGATTTTGTGATTTGTTTAAAAAATATGTATAATAATTTTTGTGGCATATATGCAAATAAAAGGTAAAATTTCTTTAATATTGCTATTATTTATAGATTGATATTTATCGTGTAATAAAAAGTCTAATAGATAGTGTTTTGAGTAATTTTCTCCTATATATATACTTGGGGAATTTTCAGTTATCCTACCCAATTGTTAAATAATTGCAAAATTACCATTCATTCACAATTAATTGTGTATATACCTAATAGACATAAATTAATTACATTAATGTTTACAAATTAGTTACAGATCTCCATTCCATATTTGATAGTAACAAATCAATAAAGACCCAAGATTCACGCAACCCCATCCAAAAAAAATCCCTCAAAAAGTTTTCAAAAATTTGTCACCTTCTTCGGCAAGAAGTTGACCCCCCCAGTTTTCCGGTGACGAGAAGGACGTGCATGCCGGTGATCCACGAGCACTAGAGACCTCGATTCGAGTGCTTGTTGCTTCCATCGGGATTCTTCGAGCTTGCCGTGAAATTCAGTTGCCCACCGAAAACATCGCCGACCAATGGATCGTCAATGGATCGATGACCGGAGGGCGCGGACCTCGTCGGATTGGATTTTCCATGGGCCCTGAGCCCGAAATCTCGGGCCAGCAAGTCCAGATCATCCATCAGGCAGGACCAATCGACGACTCAATCTGCACAACCAGACCAATTGGAGCAAAATGCAACTTCCAGAAGGGCGATTGGGTGAATCCAAAAATCGATCAGAAAATTGGGTGCCAGAATATGGGGAGATGTTGGCCGGTGCTAGTGCTGAGACATGGAGATTTGAAATGCAGGGACTGTAATTTTGATTTAGGGTTTATAGTTTTCTCTCTCTAGACAAGGTGGAACGTCCATGTCCATGTTCTCCGTCGTCCTTTACTTTTCATTTTACCTTTTCCAAATTAATAAAGCAATTAAACACGTGATCTCGAGTGTATATCTTAGGTATATTTTATGTATATATGGGTTCTAAAATCGATTTTGAGAAAAGATTGAAACTCGAGTGTATATTTAAAGTACATTTTATGTATATGTGTGTCTCGATCTATCGCTGGCTTGTATTACTACAATCTCGAGTGTATATTTTATGTATATTTTATGGATATGTGTATTGTATAACTTTGGTATATATTGTATATACTCGTAACATATACCCGCAACATGTACTGATGGTAACATATAAATCATGCAACATGTAAATTTTCGTATCTGATGGTAACATATAGATCATGTACAAAATTTTCATAACCGAAAACATATGAATGAAAAAATAATGTGTATACCCGCTACATACAGTATATGTTAGTATATATATTCAGTTTATTTTTTTATGAAAAAACATGTCTTTCATAAAAAAATAAACCATACATATACACAATAAATCCATTAAAAAAAAACATAAAAAGTATATATATAGTTTATAAACACATTATAACAAGTTATTATATTCAGTAAAATGTTACATCTAATATACTCTAATATACCAAAACCACAAAAAACAACAAATTGTATCATATATCGAAAATATACTAAATATATACCATACATATACAAAAAAATAACTTTCACGTTAATATCATATATCGAAAATATACTGAATATATACTATAGATATACAAAAAAGATAACTTTCACGTTTTATTAATGATATATCTTTCACGTTTTTATTAACAGTATATTTTTAGTTTATTTCTAGTTTATTAACAGTATATTTCTAGTTTATTAACAACATATAGATAATTTTTATTTTATTAACAGTATATTTCTAGTTTATTAACTAGTGTAGTATGTGCATCTAACGGTTAAAAATCTCAACGAAATGGTTCCGTCGGGACTATATCATTTTTCTATTCCTTTATTAATAAGGCAATAATTATCACATAAACAAAAATTTGAAAACAACATAAAAAATAGAGGAACACAAATTTATTTCCCCAAACAGAGCATTTTCAGCCAGAAAAACCAACACATACATAAGGCAACAAAACTAATTAAAATTTGAAATTACTCGTTCATTCTCTTTACTTGAAAGTCGAATCCATGTTATGTGTGTGTGTGTGTGTATTTGCTGATTCACTGAAAATGCATAGGCTTCAAATTGGTGATTTATTTCCAGTTATCCTTCATTGGTGAGGTTTTGAACGAGATGATAAAATGAGAGGCAACGGAGGAGAGGCCACCGCCGTCGTCGTGGGATCGAGATTCGGATGGCGGGGACGATCTTTCGCACTACTCCTCATGCGGTGGTGAATCAGATACTACAGCGCCGGCTCGGCCATGGGTACCCCCGCTTCCGGGGCAGCTCGTGCGGGGACCTGGATTTCGGGCCGTTGAGGGGTTTTAGACTCGGGGAAGAAAATGCTAATTCTCAGAATCGTGAGGCGAATAGGATGTTATTGATCTGTGGTGAATCGAATTTGAATGGGAAAATTGAAGGTTTTGATGTGGGTGGCCGATGGAGAAATAGGGTTTTTATTGGGATTGAAAACGAAACGATTGGTGGGGTGAGTGTTTTGAATTCGAATGATTTTCCGTTATTTTGTAATGATGTTCACAACAATGCTGAAATCAAGAACTCATTATATTAAAAATCTGGTATATGTGCAAATAAGTATGCAAAATTTTGTAAAGTTGCAAATAAATATTTATTAGATGTATAAATGTAATATAAAGTGTATTGAATGGTACGTGGTGCAAATTCCTCTATATACTTCATTATCCAATAAGCCCAACACCACATGGCCAATATCTTTTAGAATGGGCTTAAACTATGAGCCCAAAGATAATTCTTAACAAACGCACACATTAGGTCTTGTAGCCACAACTCGCTTATAAATACCCATTTGCCCTACCAACACTTTGACCTGTACATTCTACACTCTCATTGTCCGCCGCTCTTTATCTTCGTTCTCATCTCAGGTGCGTTTTCAAATGTTTTGAATAAACGTAATTTGAACCAACTTCTGCGCGCCGCTGCTTTTCCTATTGAACATCTAATTTGGATCTCGTATTATCTATTTATGGAATTCGTATTGCTTATTCTGTTGGGCTTATGGTTTTTACCGTTTTAGGGTTTGTGGTATGTGATTTATGGGATATTTGTTTATCACCGTTTAGCACTTGTTGTGTTGATTTATGAAGTTGGGGAATAGAAGAATGAGTTGATGAATAGAATGGTTTTGATGTTCAAAAAATGATGATCATTTATATAATGTATTAGCTCTAGCTGATTATTCTATTCCTTTCCCCTTAATATCTGTTTTGATTTGTAGAAGCTTAAAATGTTCCATGTTTGGAGAATTCTTCCGTACTATGTATGCATTTGGGGTTTGTATATTTAACACTAAGATTCAACCTAAAATGCTATGGATTATATGTGGCGGTGAACGATATGATGAGGAGAAAAACTTGTTGATTGCCAGTATGATGGCAATGACCTTGTATTAGCTCTAACTGATCATGTTCACACCCCATCTTTTTGTACTCTTTTTTTTTCGGATAAAATCTCCTTTTGTACCTTCTGAATTTGATTTTTATCATTTTTTATGTGGGTGATCTTTTATTTATTTTTCCCTTCTGAACTTTTGGGAGTTTTATTTCTGAGCAACTATTCTACTTTGTGAAACTTGTTGTTACTCTATTCTGTTTCATAGTTTTCCATTTACAGTATTTTTTTTTTAAAAAAAAAATTGATTGTGGAATTTAGTGAAATGAGGGGAAGGAGCTATACACCCTCGCCACCAAGAGGTTATGGCAGACGAGGAAGGAGTCCTCCAAGAGGAGGTCGTCATGGCAGAGGAGATGCACCCACTAGTCTTTTAGTCCGCAATCTTCGTCATGATTGCAGGTAAGTTGTATATTTTTTTGGTTGATTCTTATATTAATATGGTTGGTTGAGTCTCTAGGGAAGACATTGATTGTAGTTTTTTCAATGATTTAATTTTGATATACAGGCCAGAAGACTTGAAGAGGCCTTTCAGCCAATTTGGCCCTGTCAAAGATATCTATCTACCAAGGGATTATTACACCAAGTGAGTTCGTGTAGAGGATTGTCCTTACCCCAACCCTCCCATGAAGAAGATTGAGAAAATCATTTTCGATACTTCTCTTTAAGTCTAATGAAGAATGTAATTGCATTTTGGTTTTAGCTTAGTTATTAACAGGGTGCTTTCCTTATTTCAATTTGTTTCTCATGAAGAAAATAATTGCACTTTGGTTTTAGATGAAGTATTAATAGGTTACTTTTCTTATTTCAATTTGTTTAATATTTGATCTTCTTAAATTGGTGGTATCAAGATGTTTCGAGATTTAGCTGTGAAGTAAGAGTTATGAAGACTCAATCAAGTAGTAAAGGGTTCTGTTGACTCATTTAGTAAGAGGTCTCTTGACATCAATCAAGTAATAAGGAGTTGAAGGTGATGTTAATGGTAATGAAGATTGTGGAAGGGTTCTTGTTTGATTACAATTGTGAAGATATCAAGATTCTTGAAGAATGTCAAGTCTTGTTAAATTATCATCAACCCGCAAGGTCAGCTGCCAAGTGCTTGTTTATGCGCTTATTGAGGCCTTTGTACTGTGGGAATAATTTTCAGCTGTTACTTGGTTAGTTCATATTTGGGATTTTAAGGCTTTAAGGTGATGTAAATTAGCTGATTCATCTCTATTTTTATTCTATTTATTTCCTTCCCCATTGCTGGTATATATAATAATGGCTCACAACCAACTGAATGAAGAGTTTAGTTTGTCACACAAGTTTCTAGAGTCGATACGTTAAGCAATTTTTATGTGCTGGGATGATATGTAACTGCACCAAACTCACTGTTTGTTCGTGCAGTGAGCCTAGAGGCTTTGGGTTTGTACAATATGTTGACCCAGCTGATGTGGCTGATGCTAAATATCATATGGATGGCCAAATTTTTCAAGGCCGGGAGCTTACTGTGGTTTTTGCAGAGGAGAATAGGAAGAAACCAACTGAAATGAGAGCTCGGGAACGAGGAAGGTGATTTAAAGCTTAAATACCCTAAAATTTATTTGCATGAATTGTTGTTTGCTAGGCGGTAGCATCAAACTTACAGCTGTGAATACTAATTTCATTTCTTAAAGAAGGAATCCCAAGAGGACACTATCCGTCGGACAGTAGCATGAAGTTTTAAAATGAAAAATAAAATAAGGAGGTTAACAAGGCTTGATTGATAATTTTTTGAATGAGAAAAATAAATTTATGGTCCATATTGAAGCATGATGCCTCAACCTTTTTGTAGCATGATAAGTCTTGGAGATTGATTGAACAAAAAAAAATATAACATGAAAATACTTTTTCCATGTAATGTGGAGAATCTGTCAAAACTGTAGCACACAGAATTGATTTGGTAGCCATTGCAGCAAATTGAGTGAAGTCAATTCTGAAAGATAGTATGAAACTTTATACTTGTTACTAATTGATATCTTTGTGACACTTATTGATATGTACAGTGGGCGTGTCTATGACAGAAGGCGGTCCCCACCTCGTTACTCTCGATCGCCCTCACCACGTTATGGGAGGGCCCCATCCCGTAGTCGTGATTACTATTCTCCCCCTCCTAAGAGAAGATACTCGAGGTATGGTACTTAATCAGAATTTGTTGTCGCATAGCATACTGTCTTGTTTTCTCACACTTGACTGTTATTCGTTACACTATTCGTTACACCTTTCCTTTTATATTTTTTATTGCTGCTTCTATGAAGGTCTGTATCCCCTCGTGGGAAAAGGAGGTCATATTCTCGTTCACCTGTGCGGGCAAGCCGAAGCCCTGAAAAGGAACGAATATCGCCCTACGGCTCAAGAAGCCCTAGTCGACGGCGTTCTCCTGTCAGGGCCCGGAGTCCAAGTCGAAGCAGAAGCAGAAGCAGAAGCAGAAGCCCATATGCAAAGAGTGATAGGTCTCCAAGCCAGTGAGACACACAAAAATTTATTACGACTTCGTAATATGTAAACCTCTTATTGTTAATCTTAGGTTGAGTTAAAATGGTTCTGGATTGTGTGGCCCAAGTATGCTAAGTTAATTTGTGTTTGAACTGCTGCTGCCTTTCAGTTGGTGTGTACGCTCATGTTGGCACTAGACAACGATAAATTGAGATCCGAATATGATTGGATTTATCCTTGAATTTTGGATGGTAATGTGCCTGCTCAGTATGAGTTGCTCTCCCAGTGAGATGGAAACGCGATGTTTCAGA